TGGCTCGTATTCTCTTCTCCGCCACTATGACTTTTTCGTCGTTCTCTCATTTCCATCAGCTACTCCACCAGCTATGCTGTCCCCCTTGTGCATCCAACCTTTTCACGTTACCTCTCCTGTTCGCGGACGTGTGTATCTTGTAAACGCATACATGTGAAATTGCTTAAAGGGGATGAACAGACGTGTTCATAAGGTGCTCTTTACATGAGACTTCGTGAAATACTTGAGATAACTCATATCAAGAGTTGACTCCGGAAAGTTGTATTGGAATTAAATACTATCGGAATATCTAAAGTAATTCCGCCAGCTATCCGTTATATATTATAAACAATCGACGATTCCATTTAAAACAATACAGAAATATTTTATCAATGATAATTGAAAATTTTTGAGTCTTTATATATCGCGTTTTCACATTATATTACATTTTGTTCGATTGCGTGATCAACTGTGCGAATTTCGCATATGTGAAATAATGCGTCGCTATAAAGTGAACTCTTCATATTGTTACAAGAAGTATCCTGTATCCGTTATGTAGAATACATACACGGCAAAAATGTCAAACGAAAATGAAATTCATGTCGCGAACGCGACATTTTCTCGCGACGAGTAGCAAAAGGTATATTCGATTAAATCGCGATTGTTACACGTCGATTGTCGTTTCGAACCGCGGTCTAAATTGCACGAATACGATGGATATTGGTAAAGACACGTATCGACGTTTCGATGATACAGTAATAGTTCGAAGAGCGATTCGAAATGACAGGCGTCGTGTGTCGTGAATCAGACCGCATTACAATAGCACACCACATCTGCAAAGTTGTATCGCGTCAATTATCCGTTACAATATTAGCATAAACGTGTAGATACACATTCGACGACAGGCTTATAAATTATAATCACTACTTCTTTCGTCGAACGAAGATTCAGAATCCTCAATTCGATAACGCCCGTCTAACGCCTCTCCTTTTATCTACATGATTTCACGATTAATTTCATGTCGATGTCTCTTTGTGAAGCTTGCACACAAATTCTTCCCTGTTTAAAAGCTTCTCTCTCACATAATGCTACTATCACTCACTCGTGATTTTACGCGTAATTCATAACCGCGTTACAAAAGGATTTCATTTCATCGGAGTACGGGGCAAAAAATCTGACTGCTGAGTCTGTGGTCGAACGTTACATAATGTTCACGGTTGACGATTTATTACCGAGGATTAATCTCTTTATAAGCTCTTGTATAGTATTATCATAATCCTCGGAAATTTTTCCTAATTCGTTTGCAAACGTTCTTATTTTATTTTCTTTATTTAACTTAATTCTTCTCAAATCTTTCAAAGCTCTTTTCATCATTCATTTTAACATATAATTATAATTACATATAATGAATTAAAACGATATTTTGCAAAGTTTATCGGGGAATCCTTAAATAGATTGAAAACGATACATATGAATATTTAAGTCCGTTTTTATACTTTCATATTTTCTTACATAATCTGTGTACTTATATTTGTAGCATGTAATTATCAATTATTTTTATTTTATCTCTATTCATTATATAATTGTATATTATATACTTTTCATTCGCAGAGTTCTTTATTATTTTTCTCTTGTTTTCAATCTTTTATATCTTACACGTATACGACGCTTAAAATATCACGTAATTGACACATTTTTTGCGAAGCGCAATCAGAATATATGACATTTTTATCTGATAATCTATTCATTCACACGACTGTAGTTAATAGCTGGTAACTTGTTCTGCTAGCGAAAGCTTCCAGCAGAAGCTCGTTAATTGGTGTCAAGTGAAGGCAGCTAAAAAATGCAAACGTTTAATTATAATGTAGCATATTTCGGAGCTCCTTTTTCCATGATCTTTTGACATTGATACGCCGTGCAATGGCGACAGAAGATAAAGCGTCAGTCGAGGATCTTTCTTGGATCCGGTAAAGAATACAGAGATATGTAAATGAAATGAAATATTATTAGCAAGATTTTTGGCATGGTGATATTTTCCGCGATACTCTATCGTGCCTTCAAAAAAAATTTATCCATAATTTTAGTAAAAAGAAATATTAATCACAATATTTCATACGTATTACAATTACATCACTATAGTATTTTTCTTTACGTACTTTCTAAAGTGTTTTTTAAAAAATCTTTCTTAAAATTCTTTGCAAAAATATAAAATTTAATCAGAAATGATAATACACAAAAAATTGATGGAAATTAAATAATAATAACCTTATTACCTCTAAAATTCAAACAATGAAAGGATATCGGAAATTGAAATAGGATCATAAATCTGAGGAGAAACTAAACCAAATTGTTTGAAGAAGATTTACAATACTTAATAATGTATTTCAATTTTCTATTCTTAAGCTAATTCATTATAGAAAATACAAAAATCAGATCGAAACTTTTATCCACTTTTGCATCACAATTTATATTTAAATAGTCAATTTTCGTTACATTATTTGAAAATATAAATAGATTATATAACGCACAAAAGATTATACGTATCTACAAAAATATATAAAAAATATAATATTTTATTTTAATAAATTGGAAAACGAGAAACAATTTGTATGCTATAAAATAAATGAGACCATTGTTCTATGTCGATGACAACAAAAAAAAATGAACTCATCAATAATATATCAATTTTTTAATTTTCGATAAGAATTCATGCGCAAGAGGTACGTGAATCAGGAACGAGGCGTGACTCGTTGACGCAATCGATTTTGGCCGTTAGAATTACTTTTGTCGATCTCGTCGGCTGAATTTCGGCGTCGGCGTACGTGCGCACTTGAACTTATTAAATTTGTTCTCCTCGCACGTTCGAAAATATGGAACTTTCGCGAATGGAGGTCGGGCGGATTGCCCTGTATGAAAAAACGAGTTTGCCCCGGCCAGAAGGAGTCTAGAAATTTCAAGTCGCTTTACTCTCTACTGGCGTGGATATTCGAGTCCCCGATTTTCCCTGGAGAGAGAACGAGAACTTCCCGCTCACCTAAACTTTATGGAATCTCTTTGAGCAGCAGCCATTCGGCCCAGAGAGCAACTCCGTTCGGATTTCGAAATCCCGGTGAAGATAATAATAAGTTAATTCCCCCCTCCCCTCCCTCCCTCTCTTTCCATAGTACCCTGGTAACCGAAGTTATCCAAACGTGACGATATGGCGCGAATCTGCAACTACCGTTTCTTCCTTCTCCTTTTGTCTTCCTCCTCGACAAATCGGCCGTCTAATTCCATTATTCGACGCCGATAAACTCGATCTAACCGTGAAACGAGTTAACGCGTCATTTGGCGGCATACGTGTGGATAAAGCCACGGGACATCGCATTCGTATCAGACAAATCGATCGATGAGTTTGAAAGAATTGATCCTTTGGTACAAAAAAACGCTAAATTAATAATTTGTCATAATTATAATGATTCAAAAAAATTATATCTAGACAAATAAAAATAGTTATGTATTGACATGAATATTCAACAATTTAAATCTAAGACCATTCCAAATTATAAATATATTGATAATCCCTTATTTGATTAAGATATCAGAAAAATTGAATTTACTAAATTAATGTCATTACTAATTTAATGTCAGAAATAATTATTCATCAGTAAAATAGCTTGATAATAGTAATTACTAAATTACCAAACACTAAAAATTAAATAATCACTATAATAGTTTATTTCATTGATTATTTCCTTTATTGTTAAATGCAACTATTTTAATAATTTTCTTTAAAATTTAAACATTTAAAAGAAATTTTTACATTATATTATAATAATATTTTATATTAAAATTCTTTTAAATATCGGATGCATTAATATAATTATACAAAGTATTTTTAATTATATTTATAAATATTCTCCTTGATAAAATTAAACATTGATACAAAATATATATTGAAAGAGTTTTTTTTTTATCAAAATAATTTTTATATCCCTCAGAGTTATACACTGCCGATTTAAACGACACATAGTAGAGATGTAATACGCAATTATTGGTTAATTAAACATCTTTCAAAATTCTCTACACCAGTTACGGTTTAATTTCCATTTCTCATTCCTACTCACGCTTGATGAAAATCATATTGCGTGATCATATGACTCCATTTAATTTCGTTAGCGTGATATTCACGAACTCTGCCTCTCTCGATGTAACCGATCGCCTAATCATAAAGTTTTCGGCACGAGCAATCAACTCGGTAATTGAAAAGCAACTCAGAAACGTGATTTAGCATAGCGCGTAATATCATCAATGCCCCCCGATGGAATCTTGTAACGCGATAATAAGTTTCAGTTTCTGCGATTGATGGAAAGGTAATGCGAGGCAGAAAATTCGATGGTAACTAAAATCACGAATAACACACTCGGCTATTTAGCCGGTAATGGCGAGGCCGGGGCGTTGAAGCACTCGTCATGACTAATAACGAAGCGAATTTCCGATTCGCAGTTCGCCGACCGAGCTTATTGAACCATTACCACGGCACGCGTCAACGGCTTCGTTCTGGCAAATCGACTATTTAATTCCGTTATCGACGCGTCAGTAAATTCGATGTAATACGAACCCGTCCGCGACAGTTAATTCCGGGACTGCCATGCGTTGAGCGATTGACGAAATGAAAATCGGTTAAGTAAAATCGATTGATAAACGCGCGTGCACGGGCTCGCGAACGTGATAATTAAAGTTCGGATTTTGTTACGGCCGGCGATTGAATCCGAACCATTGCAGTAATCCGAAGTTGTACGTACATGTTCGTAAGTAATTAAATAACTTTACAGGGATAAGCTTATGCTTTCCCATTTAGTTTGGCTTTTTTTTATTCCTTTGAATATAACGACTTTTTATCTTTTAGCTTTTATATTTTCCGTCACACTATTAATGAAAATTCGATGAAAATATCATAGCCGTGAATAGAAACTTAACGTGACGCGCTAAAATAATTTATTTCTGTATTTAAAGTCATGAGTCATTTTTTTAATTTGCAGGCGGAGATCGAAAGTCTTAATATCCTCCGCAAAGCTTAAGGACAGTGGCAGATACGAATGCGTGGCTGAGAGTTCTTCCGGTCATCGGGCCTCACTTGCGGCCCAACTTCTAGTCGCTCACGATACCAGAATTGCGGAAACAAGTAAGTAAATAATCATTACTTTTCTTGTGATTTTAGGCGATATTTTTTACGTGAAAAAGTGATGAAGCTTATCCACGTTGCTCACGAATAATGGTGCGCATTTTCATCAATTTTATTTAATTATAAAAAATTTGATCTAATTATAAAATTATAAAAATATAAATGGCGATCTTAATTAGAAGTAATTGATTGAAAAAGCTAATTTTTCACTCTTTCAATATAAGAAAATAACGCATAATTTCGATAATTAATCGCAAATTGAACTGAAATACATCACGATCACGAAAAATTTTGTAAAGTAATTATAAAATTAAGGTAAAGTGATATATCCACTGGAGAAATATAATGGTCGCGAATCATCGAAACAGTGCAAAGTTTATCCGTATTATCGATTGAAGTTTTCAATAAAATTGATTGGTGATTGTTAATCGCTGAATGCAGGATTTCGTGAGTCGATTGGGACGCGTATGCCTGTCGATACCTTACGCAGAGCTTTCGGAATAGAAGCATTTTTACTTGACGTTATCGTAGTCTCGCGTGTGCAAAAGCGCGAGAGATTGCGAGTCACTGATCTGTGTATCTTGAATCGCCACGCAAACGATAAAAAAATCCCTATGATCTTTTAACGCTTTGAGAAAATACATTGAATTCAATTGAAATGGTAAACGAGCTATCACTGATAAAGGATTGATTAACAAGTGCGCAATGACTTATAAATATTTTGTGGATAATCCACTCTTCAAAAAACTACCAGTAACACAGATTTATTAATTAGTGTTTTTCAATAAAGAGCTGTTTGGCATTACATAAAAGACAAAGTTTTACCACAAAATTCGTCTCACAAAAGAAAGAACGAGAGGCATCGTACATTTTCCGAAAATAATACACGACGTGATGATGTTCTATCGAACTAATATTTTCGCAGTGATTTTCGACTGGGTGATTTCACATTCAACAAACGTGTGAAAAAAATTGACGATTCATTTAACGTTTTCATCAAACAGTTATACATCAAACGTTTTCTTCTCCTCTGCTAATACGCGCAACGAAACAAAATTTGTTTTCCACAAATTTTGACACACTGAAATCATAAGCATAATGGCAGAAGTATTAGCGTCATCCATTTTTAAAATCAAGTCTGACAATGATACTTGTCCTCGCGACGTCTGTCTTGTTTTTAATCCGATAACTGAATTTAAAATATCTTCACACGATTGTCACAGAAGTAAATTTAATTTTGTCGTGTCGCAGCGAGAAATAAATGACAAAGCGTTTACGGACAATCTGAGCGATTGCTTCGTCGACGTTGCATCTTTTACGGCCACCATTTTCTCACGTAACGACGCATGCTACGACGGATACATTCACGATGTGCATGGCACGAGCGTCTACGACGATCGCGGCGCGGATATCGATCCATGCAGCGGCTGCCCTTAGGGTAGTGGTTTATGGCTTTTCATAATGCTCGCAATATTTGGGCCACGCCTTTTACTGCGATATTTATGTTATTTCCGGATATATTCCGCGGAGCATACCGAGTTTATCGATACTCACCCCTATTTTCCGCATCTTGCCGCCAAGCTTGCCACTGACTAAAATAATAAGTGTTACTTGTGCGAAATGCCACGAGAGGTAGTTAAAATTTATTATATGTAATTTCGGTATATTTACGATCCATTATTGCCTTGGCGTGCCGAGAGTGGGTACTTAAAAAAAAA